ATATATATATATATACATAAGTAAACACCACCTTCAGTGATACTTACGAAAGAGTTAGAAGGACGATTCATCTCTGAGTGACCTTCTATAATGCTCCTCATCTAAAAGGGAAATGTATAATTTGAATATTTTCTTTCTATAAGCTGTGGGTAAATTGGAAGCCAAAACGAATTAAAAAATATTCTCCCTTTTATGACATGTTATTAGTGTACATCATAAGTGACGGAATAATATAAATGAATAAACAGCATCGTTAATAAAGAAGGCAATAATAGAATAGACATTAAATTACTTCGGCACACAAAATTTAAACGACCTCATGCAAAAAATGACTAGCAAATGAAAACGAAAATTAAATTTTTATACTGGCCAAAATAATGTTGTGCCTGATATTCGCATTGAGTATTTTAATTAAACATTTTTGTTCCAATTGCTTTATCACATTACTCACTTTGAGACTTCAAATAGGTAAAAGTGCTCATGTCAGCACCTGTAACAGCAATTACAATCGATCTTCCACTTCTGGGAGTCCAATTCCTACTCTCCGATATTCAGCCCCTCTGATCCTGTTTGCATCATCAGCTACCTTCACAATGCTCATTGGCCACCTCCAATCTCTGCCAACTTTACACAAAATTCTTATCTCAAGCACCTTGTCAGCAACGCACTTAAGCTCCACCTTCTTGCTCTCCCCCTCCTCCTCCTCCTCACTCTATATCTTTCTCTGTTATGCATAATTATTTACTATATATAATAAGTAAGCAGAGAGCTTGACTATGACCATCTCGAGTTGAGTGACAACATCATGGAACCTCCTTGTGACAATTAGCTAATCTACCAACCGATCCATTTCACAGAATTAATCAATTTGACTGGAACTTCAACTACTAAATGGACACCCATGGGGATGAAAACTGTGATATCTAACTTGATAAACGAACGCATTAATCGATGCTTTACCGAAACTTAAATCCCCCCCCCAACAATTAATTAACTAATTCACTTAATTTTGCAGTCTTTAGATGTTCTAATTTGAATCTTGTGTACGATGAAGTAAAATTAAGTAAAATAATTAAATTGAAAGCGAATTCAATGTACCATCAAAATCCTCTCAACATTCACACTTGGTATTCTTTTGTTTTCCAGATCGTTTAGCTCTCGTTTGATCTTTAGCACAACTTTACGTTGATCCTCTTCAAATATCTTTTTTGTGGCTATTGCAGTTTCCATCTAGAATGCGTGAATGAATATGCTTAAAGAAGGCGATTTAACATTCAACTAAACATTTAAAATAAACAAATCTTTTTACTTTTCCTCTGTTCAATATTTTCATTAACCATTCATTATTAATAAGGCTTTGGTGAACCTTTTCTGCCTTTAATTTAATATCTCTTGCGAGTTTTGAGAGCTCTTTTTGGGAATCTTCGATCATTACGGATGACGCAGCAAACTTTTCTGAAAGAGCGCTTCTAGCATCAGTAATAAGTTTCATCCTATGTGTTCTTCGCGAGGCCTCAGTTTCTAGAAGAGATATATCTGAGATGATGTTATGGAGACGTTCTTCAACCGCTTTTAAGTTAGTTATTTGGTCTTCGTCCGTGGTATGCTTTTTATAGCATTCGTGGCAAAAATATAACTTACAGTGGTGCTGACAAAATGTACATTGTGTTTTCTTTAGGCAATCAGAACAAATATTGTCACGACGAAAATCTCCATCAGAAATTGAGTTTTCATTAGTTTGGCATTGATTAGAGTTAAAATCGTGCTGAGGATTGCCAATATGCCCTCCAACATTTCGATTAGTATTGCGGACAGCGCTTGAGTCTCTTTGAAAATTGGATTTTTTTTGGAAGTTGGGAGTTTGCTCCGCGATATCTGGACGAACTTTGGTAAACACGTTCTGCAACCGTTGTTTAAAATTGGAATTTTTTCCAAGAGAAGAAGTTTGATGAACTTCTGTTAAATATTGGGACTTTTGAGAATTTTCAGCAGTTAACTTTGACCTTTCTACCTTTCCCTTTCTGCGATTATCTGGAGCCAACTTGTCAGGAGCAAATTGTTCTCCACAGGCTGGGCACGAAATACTTGAGGATGATAGTGAGGGGTTAAAGTGCTTTAAACAAAATGATTTCATGCAGCATGGTGTTAGGTGAGGATCCTCCAACCTGCAAGACCAAAAAGAGCATCGACAATATACCTATTTACTTTCTAACAAGTGACTTAATGGAGAAATTTTGAGTATATCTAAGCAGGAACTCTGTGAATCAATTTTGGCCTTAAATATGAATCGCATGTGAAATAATATAATCTTGTGACGAAAGAAATACAAATAACAACCAACTGTAAAGTCAGAGATGGAGGGTTTAATCCTCATTGTGAACATAGTGAATGGGTTTACTAAACCCATTGGTAGAGTCTATTAATAAAAAGCCCCTGTGAAGTTTAAATCACTCAATGTGAGGATCAATGACTTATATCTCAATCTATTGCAAATCGTCTTCTCTAATAGATATACCTTTTACGTTCGTGCAGAGGAAAGTGTAGACACAAAAGAGGAGAAGTAAACAGGAACCCTGGACGATTTAAGAACACGAGAATCGACTTTGGCACGGCAACTCAAACTATAACATGGTGCACGCCCTCTAATTTCAAGATTCAAATGAGGTGGACAAATGTTGTTATTTCACAACACCCCTGTCATCTCCCTGCTATTGATCAGTAATAGACAGTTTCAAGAGATGTTAAGATGCTTTGATTTGCACCATTGTTTTTGATTTAAAGACCACTGAGTTGGGGTACTGGGTACTAACCCATACTCTTTTATAATTCACATGACCCTTGCAGAATCGAGCAATTATTAAGGTTTATAATTTTTACCAGAATATTCTTTTTTCTCTCTGGGTAAGATTAACTATCATCGGTGCTTATTTAGTCATTATTTGGGAATAAATGCTCATACAATGGGGGCATTCAATAGTTGATTGAAGTAAACTTTATTTCATCAATATAATAAAGAAACAATTCCTGAATTACATTTAAAATAATTAGAATAGGTGATGTTCAAAATATTATGTCAAAACTCACAGTTGATCGCATACTTTACAAACGAGATCAAACTGAGCTGCTTCAGTCATCTTTGTGCTAAATTGCTTAAAACTTCGTTAGGCTTAAAAGTTGACACTTTACTTCTGGACTCGCTATTGGTTAAAATCTGACAGTGCTTTTTAAAGATCGCAAGTCACACATTAGAATCGAAATCATGAATTAATTTAAACAAATTGCCTTCGGATTGGCTAATTGAAAGAGTTTCAAGGTCTTTCCCCTTATTTTCTGGGGACGGGGAATTCAAGTAGCTATTTGTTTCTACTTGAAAGTCTTCCCGACACATGAACCTACATTTTAATTCAAAAATACCACATTAAGAGGTGGTCAGTGAGGATTAATTATTTTTATCTTATTTACTAGTGGCTTCTGTGTATCGTCTTAAAAGTATCGACCTACACTTGTTTTAATCCTATTTATTTAATCAGTTACTTGCCACACTTTCATATGTCTGTGTATTTGTGAGGAACTTAAGTGGGCCTAGCAGTTGTAAAGGCTCCAAGTATACGTCCTCATCACGTAATTCAACGGAAAGTCTCAACTGTATGCTTTGCTATTGTCTTCTACTATTTCGGAGTTTTATTAGGCACCAAAGAAAAATGTCAGTGCCAATTGGTAATTCAATTATCTGGGAATGATTTCATACATTTTTCACACAGTTGAAAGGTAATAGTAAGCTACCTTATTTTACTGAAAAGTATCGATTGTTGTCTGCTTAAGCGTTAGCGCACAGCAACCATTCCATGTTTGCGTTAATCGCAGCCTTGAAGAAACCAATCAAAACAGAGTAAGTGAAATATTTCGACAAATGGCGATACAGCTTATGCTGACCAATGCGGAAAAATGGTGTTCTGCTATCTATAGCGCAGTGGATTCTATACTCGAGTTGGTTTGTGTCTGCATGCAATCCGAGCTTTCAGGACAATCGAATGATTTAATTTGCAGCGTATGCAAGAATTTGTAAGTGATCTCTCGCTTATTTCAATACAAGATGCTACATTTATCTTGGATTTTGCCAAAATGAGGGCATTATTTTAAATTTTATTGAAACATGCCTTTTTCGTTAACGCTGTTAACAAATCTAACACTTTAGAAAGTTATATTTGAAATTGGTTATACTAAATCGGGCATCGAAAATAAAACGGACGCAACACTCTATAATTTAGTGGAAGATCCACTAATTTAGATATAGTCACTTTCAAAGGAAAAGGTGACTGTTAGGTATTTGGTTATCCCACCAGCTAATCAACGGGCTAAGCCTTCCACCTTCTAACGAACTTCAATATGGTTATGTGGAAGAGAAGAGACATTAATGAACAGAATTTATCTAAACGAAAATGCCCAGGAATCACGAGGAGAAATAGGGTGAATGTAGTGAATGCGATTACGCCAGACACAGAGGACGGTGTGTTTGTGTACAATGTCGTTTATTATTTGGGAGAGCAAATACGCTTCAAGTAGAAAGGGGAGTCTGGAAACTTGGAGGAAAGTTGCTGTATGAATGTTAGGAGGCGACTACGTCATCGAACTTCACATAGACGAAAAGCGCACACACACAGACGTAGATGTACTTTTAGAGAGTTTGAAAATGTCTAATTACCTAGGTCATAATTTATTTGGAAAGGCTTGTTGAATAGTAGTGGGGCCCCCAATTTCTCTTAAAATATCGTTAATATAGGTCTAGTATTTAATCTTTTTGTTAATTTTGAGCGAACAGGATTAACCAGTGTAGTGACCGTCCAAACAATTTGAATTTTAAAGGCTACGCCAAAATGTGGAAAAGCGGAAATGAATTTTATTAACTTAAATATAAAGAAAAACTTTCATGTCATTCTGCCTTTTGAATTCTAGCAAAAACTACAATAGCTGTAAGTTTTAGTGGCCTCTTTCGAGGTTAAAAACACATGACCCACAAAAATGACAGTTAATATTCAAAGTAGTGTTAATCCCAGTAGAGCTACCTTTAATGACTGGCTGAGATATCTTCTTAAAGGCACAACAATCTCGAAAGGCAAACAGGAACAACTAATGCCGAAAGATGTGGAAAGATGTCAATGGGTGTAGACCAAAATAGCACATTTGAATGTTAAGAGTCTACCTTGTTTCGCTGGTGAGTCACCGTGCAACTGTTTAGTCTCAATTGACCCTTGACCCAGAGTCTGATTATAATGATTTGTCTGTTCATCTCGTCAAACTGAAATCGTTGCCAGAACTGATTTCTTCAATTAACTATATTCAAGGACGCCTTTCCTCTTAGAGTACATTTTAACTAAACTTCTTTGTAATATAAGCACCCAAATTGTTGGAATGCATAGATCACGAATTGTGTTTGATGGAACAGGATGGGTGTTTAGGGAATATGAATGTGCATTCAAGTGCTTGGGTATATTGATATTAGGGGACACACATGAATATTAAACCGACTTCTCTTATCGCGAGACGCTCATACCCTAACACTGAATGCGGGATTGAAAACAATCGGAATCGCAGTGAAAATACACCTGAATTTATTGAAAGACTGTTAATATAATTAAACATGTTCTTTCTCAACTAACAGGCTGCACATACCCTATACCCTGCCTTGCCAACACTCATATTGCTTGGAGCCGTGTTTACAGGCCCAAAGAAGTGGTGAGGATGTACAGTGCTTCAACTGTGGCAAAGGCTCTCCCTTTAAAGAAGCAATTCGCAATGAACACCTTGAAGCCTCAGTAGCAAAGCGACTTGTTGAGGAGAAACGAAGCCTCATTGCTACCTGCGACGCCTGCATGAAACCCTCCTTAGACCTTCGTGATTGCAAACACTGTGAAGGTCGAGTTTGCCCTACATGTCGTCAGAGTCACTACGACCAGGTGCGCACTATTTATTGGTCTATTAACGATCTAATCATTTCTCTGTGTGTGTACCTTATAGGTAGCTGCCGCAGTCAAGAAATTAGTGAAAGGTATTAAAAAAACTCGAAAGAATGTCGTAAATATCCAAAGTAACTTAGTTAAGAAGTCTGCCCACTTGTCAGAACTTGAAAAATCTCTTGAAAGCGCTTCCAATGAACTTAAAATTGCATGTGACAAAACCCTCGATAGTGCCAATGCCCAGTTGGATAGCTTGGCTTCTTTTTATGCACAAGAAGGATCTGAACATAAAAGGACCATTAAGAGCGTAAAACTATTAATTCAAGACACTACTGCTAGAAGGAGGGATATACCAGATATGGATATGCANTGTTTGACAACCATCAATGATTTTGACAATGAGGACAATCCATTTGGAGTTGAAATATCTAAAAGCTATTCCTCGGTAAGTTATTTTCCCCTTAACCTAATTGGGACTTCGTGTTGAATTTTTGTTGTTTTTTGTTGCTCTTAGCTTATCTACCCTATTCAAAGTCTTTCCTTAGTTGAAGATGAACCCGATAACTCGATAAGGTCAGTTTTAAAGCATTATTTTGTAAATTATTAAATTAAAATATTGGCAAAGAACTGACCATGATTAAAGCAATTGAAAAGGGATAAAAGGGCAGAGGGTATAGCTTGGGTTCCTGCCAAATTACTATTCATTTTGCAGTTATTTTCGAGGCAAAATCCGATAAGAAGCGAAAACTTGATTCAATCGATGGAGTATGATTGTGTCAAGATGCCAAGCAAATTTTGCCAGACCAAAAATGCATGCAACTTGATTCGTGCACTTGAACATGCAGTGAAAATTAATCAAGTGCTCCCTTCACTGCAAGTAAACAAAACAAAGTTTTATACTTGACTAAGAGGTGACATTCTAAAGCCTTACTTATGGGCAACATCACTTTCTAATCTTCTTTCGTTGCCCAAATCAACGGAGGTGGGGGGTGAGGGGGGAGGGGTTAGAGGTACTTTTATCCATCTCTTTCGTTTTGTGTGCGGCTCATCACCTTAATTGCATTACTATTTTGTAGTGAGAAGAATGAGGATAGTACAGTTAACAATAATATTGATTGTACGGAAGAACCAACCTCCAATCAGATTTTTGTGGGGGGACTCATCCCGAAGATCACCTATACGCAATTTAAAAATCACTTCTCCCAATATGGAGCCATTAAAAATGCTTTCATAGCACCTTCAAGAAGATCCGGTTATGTAACTTTCTCAAAAAAGGAGTCTGCTCTTCTGGCGGCTGCTCAACAATTTCAATCAATTGAAGGTGTGAAGGTTGAGGTCAAACCCTTTTTGAGAAGTTCAAAGTAAGTTTCNTTTCAATCAATTGAAGGTGTGAAGGTTGAGGTCAAACCCTTTTTGAGAAGTTCAAAGTAAGTTTCTCATAAGTAACGACTTATTGTCAAATGATTCGCACTATATATTGAGGACAGACGAATACAGGAATTTGAATTGTTCAAACTTGATAGATGTTTGGGAGATGTTATCCACAGGATTTTCCGATAGTATCCTTCCTCACTGCGTATCTCCACAATGTAAACATTCGAAAGTTATTATTATTATTATATAAAATGGCAGGCATT